GGCTCTTACAGGTCCGGGAGCCCAGAACAACAGGAGACATTTCATGCATGTCACTGGAGTGCAGTGATGGGACATGCTGTATCATAAGCTGAAAGAAGCATTGGTCTCGTCCATCAACTGAAGTGTGCTTCATCTCTTGTCTACCTCTAGGTGAGCAGTCATCAACTTCATCATCTTTTAATCTGCTTTCTCCTTCTTTCCTGTCTTTTTCACCCTTTTTATTATTTTTATTGCTAGTTCAACTCATAGCTGCCCCACGTACAACACAGCGAATACTGATTGACCCCGTGCTCCCCCCATACATCGGTGCTACTTTGGAGCCTATTCTTGTAACCCCTGTGCCAGTCCTTTCTTGTAGCTACCCTGTGTGGAGTGTCTGAAGAGCGGCTGGTGGGTTTGAAACACCGATCTCACAGTTAACTTATTCTACTGTGTCACACCAGGAGTCCCTTTACCCATCAAAATTTTACCCTCAAGGTAAAAGTTTGCCTTTGGTGATCTAACCAGAAACCTGATTTATTTATACAGAAGGAACTCAATGGACAGCTGTGTGTTTGGACTCACAGAAATGCCTCTGTAGCACTGGTCAGCACCTAGAGAGGCAGAGGCCAGCAGTGCAGGCATGGCTCGGACAGCAGGGGGCAGTCTTTGCTCATTTTTCAGACAGTAATGGTGGCTCAGTCAGAGGGAGCGAGGCAGGTGGGGAAGTTTAGCAGAAACAGAACTGCTAGGGTATGCCTCAGGTGTGTGTTGGGATAAAGGTGGCTGAGCATAAACAGCTTATTACTTGTGGAATTCTTGAAACTTGTCCAAGCACCTTCATACATTCTCATTTCAATCTGAAATCTCACATGAGAAGCCTGGCCAAAGTCCAACCCAACACAGAGGCAGAGCTGGGGCTAGAACCCAGGCCTTTACTGAGCGATCTGAGACCCTGGTGGGCACTCATTGCTGAGGTCCTAATCACAGCCTGAAGTCTCGGTCCCCACCCCATTTCTGTACTGGGGGCAGACGTGTCCGGAGATCTTAGTGAGAAGTCAGGCGTTGCTGTGAGGGCTAGTAAGACCACACGGGGAGTCTGAGCCCAGTACCTGTACATACTTGGATGTTGCTGCCTTTATTCACGGTTGTAGACTCAGTCCCTGACTCAGGCTGGCCCCATGCACAATGGGTTCAGATCATGGAGACTCGGTGATTTTACTAGCTGAGTTTAAGAAGACTTTTCTTCCTAGTCTGTCTTAGATTTAGAAGCTCTGCTGAAACCCGCCTCCCACCAGTGAACCTGCTGGTTTTTGAAATGCCTGTGGCATAGCTACCAGCTTCATGAAAATCACCACAGTAGACAGACTGACAGAGGGGCTGGGGTGGGGTGTTGTTGGCAATCAAGGAGGTCCTGACAGGTAGGAGAGCTGATGTGTTAACACAAATCAGGCACTAAGAACTGTGCTTGGTGCACATCAAAGGGCTCCTAAGTGCCTTACATCTTCTGGATCCAACAGGTGAGACATCAGCTGGGAGGGGGCAGCACAGGTGTGGGTGGGGGCAGAAGAGGCCAACGTCCTGGTCCCACATTTCCCCCAGGTGTATTTGCTGGGATAGAGAGGTTCTCTGAGGTCAGATGAGACCCCAGGGGCTGAACAGTTGTGCCCACCCACCCCCGTGTCCTAATATGCTGCTCAGTCAAGTCTCCAGGCATGTGTCTGAGGTCCTGGGGCTCTGCTTATCCCCAGAGAGGAGTGTTGAAGGAGGGTTCCCCTCCACCTGACCCCCCATCTAGGACAGCTCCAGAGTGAGAGGAGGAAGCAGGTGCAGACACGGGCTGAAGCAGGGTCACTTTATTGTCACAGTGATGGCGGGGCTGGAGCCTCAGTTGGCAGCCATGGTATCCTGGATCCAGTCCACATAGTTGCAGACCTTGGTGTAGACTCCAGGTCGGTTCTTCTGGGCGCAGCCATAGCCCCAGGACACGATGCCCTGCAGTTCCCCATTGCAGACCACGGGGCCACCGGAGTCACCCTGGAGGAGAGGACCAAGTATGCAAAGGGCAGGGGACACCCCAGTCTGGTTGTACATGGGAGAAGTGGGATTCCTAGTCTGCTTGTATACAGAGGGAACTAGTCCAATTGATTGATTATACAATGGGAGCATGGCTCCTAGTCTGATTGTACATAGTGGGGGGTAGTCTGATTGTATACAGAGGGAACTAGTCCAATTGTACACAGTGGACAGGAGTGTGGGACCCCTAGTTTGATTGTGCAGAGGTGAGGACAACACAGTAGCCCGACTGTACAAAGGCAGGGACAGGACTCCAGTCTGATTGTACACAGGGATCAGGACCCCATACTGGTTACACACAGAGTGAGGGGAGAAGCCCCCCAGTCTGATTGCATGCAGGGGGTTGGGTCCTAGTTTGGTTGTACATGAATGGAGACAGTTCCTCTGGCATGGCACTGCACCCCGCCAGGGACCGTGCGGCCTGGGGCTTGGCCATGGGGGTCTCACCTGGCAGGAGTCCTTGCCGCCCTCCAGGAAGCCGGCACACACCATGTTGTCGGTGATTTGTCCTGGGTAAGAGGCCTCACACTGGGCATGGCTCAGCAGGGGGGCATCCAGACACTGCAGGAGGTCAGGGTAGTTCACTGCGGGACAGGGGGCAGGGATGAATGAGAGGACACACAGGGATCTCCAGCCATGCCCAGAGAGCAGCAGCAACCTGCACGCACGCCGGACATTGGAACTGCAGACCCCTCCCCGCCTGTGACCAGAGCCCCAGCTCAGAGCTGATGCTAGGAAGACCCCCTCGGGACATGCTGGAGTGGGGGCAACCACTCACCACCAGAGCTGAGGGTGTTGCCCCAGCCGGAGATGAGGCAGTTGGTACCAGCGGGTGCGCACTCAGAGGGCAGGGACACAGAGGCCACGCGGCTGTTGAAAACAGCCCTGGAGGACAGCTTGATGAGCATGATGTCATTGTCCAGGTCCCAGCTGCTGTACTTAGGGTGACGGATGACCTTGGCCGAGTCGATGAACTGCTCGTTCCCCTCGAGAACCTCGATGTCGTGTTCACCCAACCTCACCTGGATGCGGCTGGCAGGCAAGGGGACATTGGTGAGGAGGGACAGGTCTGCATATGGGTGATGGGAGCCTGCCTACTTCGGGGCTAGATGGTGAACAGGAGCAAAAGCATCCAGAGAGCTCCTCCAGCTATTTTCCACGACCCCCCACCCCATGCATCTATGCTGTGTACATGAGAGAGACCCCCGAAGTCCTCGAGCCGCTCCATCCTCGGGACCCTGCACGTTCATCTGGAGGACATATCGTGCAGTCTGGCTGGACTCAGAGGCTCTCAGAGAGTAGCTGCTTTGGAACTGATTCCAACTTAGGGCAACTCCATGTGATGCTCATAGGGTTCACATGACTGTGAGTTTTTGGAGCCAAACCTCCAGACTTGTTTTCCGAGGTGACTCTGGGTGGGTTTGAACTGCCACCTTTTGGCTAATAGCACTTAACCATTCGAACCACCCTAGGAATGAATATTCTCTGGCCACCCCAGGCTTAGGGAGTCAGGACTCTGGTGTCAGAGAGTGGCAGTCTGTGTCTTCTCACACTCTCAGGTAATTCTGGGTCATCCAGGATGATCATGGCTGGACCAGCCAGGTAGAGAGCATGAAGCCACCAACAGGCTCTGCTCCTGGAACGTTCTGAGGTGGTTGCTCTGGGAAGGGTAGGCATCAAGATCTTTTAGACGTTTCTTAAGTGGTTAACATGCAGCCACTAGCTGGGGTTAGTTGGTTGAAGTCTTCTTCTGACCTCTCTCAACTCCCTCAACTGACCTGCCCCACCCTATTGCCAGGGTTTGGGGGTGGCTATGGGTTCCATTGCATCCTTGGTTTTTGCAGGTTCAATGCTGACATCTCCCCCTTACTTCTTCAGCACCCCACTGAACCCCAGCTCTGGGGACCCCTGGCTGCATGTTGCTACTGGGGCATCACTTACGACTTGTAGCAGTGAGCAGCGGAGACCACCCACTGATCGTTGATGAGGGAGCCACCGCAGAAGTGGTAGCCGGCGTTCAGGGACACTTGGTAGGGCACTGAATTCTCCTCACAGGTGTAACCCCCGACGATCTTGTCATCGTCATTGCTTGTGGGGAGAGCAACTTGGGTGGAGAGAAGCAGGAGAGGGCTTAGCAGGTCAGTGGCTGAATGTGGTAATAAGGGTTTATGAAGAACACAGAGAGGGCTGGAGGGAAGTTTTGAAGGGTGCAGCTCTCCGGGGCCCTATGGTCTTCAGAAGCATTAGTGTGAAGAACCAAGAGTCACCCTACAAGAAACCCTGGGGCTGCTGGTTGTGGTTCCAGGCCACAGGGGAGGTTTGCCCTACGTCATTCCTGGTCTACTCTCCAAAGCCACCCAGGCCCAGATTATTGAATGGGTTGGTCTCAGGGAAATCTTCTGGTGGGATGACCCTATCTGTCAGCTTCTCCCACAGCCTAAGTCTGGGAGTTGGGCAGGGTCATCACCAACCCCAGTCCCATGTGGGCAACACAAAGGTGGACATTGTGACCTGCCAAGAATTCCAGTTTTGGCTGCTTATCTGGGGGCCTTCAAGGTACCTGAGAAGTTTAAAACTCCAATGTCCAGGTCATACCCCAAGATAGTTAAATCAGAATTTTCTGGGCTTCGTTATTCCCCACTACTGCTCCAGGTGAATTCACTGTGCTGTGACGTCTAGAACGGCTGCAGCGTGACCACCTCTGAGTGACCACCTTACTCTGGCTCTTTTCCAGCTTCTTCCACCTGGCTCATCCCAGGACCACCTCCCCTTTCCTCTCTCCCTTCAGCCTCTTCCACTTGGTTCACTTTCAGAACTTCTGCCACCTGCTTCTCTTCCAGCTTCCCCTCCTGGTTCACCCCAGGACCATCTCCACCTAAGTCCAGATATCGATAGATGCTGGTGGGTGCCATGGAGCCAGGCAGAGTATGGGAGGTCTAGCCTTCAAGACTGTCTGAGGAGAATGCATGCTAAGGAGAGGCGAGGACAGGGACTAGAGCATCACAGCACAGGAGGGGCAGTGGACAAGGTGGTCCTGGGTAAGTCAGGAAAGGAAAGCAGGATTAAAGCTGTCTGTTGACTCACCAGCAGCGCCCACCAGGGCAAGAATGAGGAGTGGATTCATGGCGGCAGAGTGTGATTGTGGGTGATGAAGAACCTGTCTTATATCTTCTCAGGTGAGTACGGAGGTGAGGGAGGTGGGGGGCACCCTCCCCCAGTACAAACACCTGCAGCTTTCCCCTTCCCAGGGTGTTGCATCAGCCCTGCAGGGTGTGAGGTTGATTGGGAATTCAGCCTTCAAGGCCAGAGGGAGACAGCTGCTCCTGGAACAACTCTGGCATGAGGACAGGGAGGCACCACACAACAGCTTCAGGAGGGGGAGGAGGTGAGGGCTCAGGTGGGTGGCCCACCCCCGACAGGTCCTCTGACCCCAGGGGCCTTATGTGACTTGTTCTCCTTAGAGGACCCACTTCTAGTCTAGTGTCACACTTGTGAGCATGAGAACCTTCTTCTGGGTCTACTTCTCTGGGCAGAAAGGTGGGAGTTGGGATTCAGGAAACCAGAGCCCAGTGTGAGAGGGCTGGGAGGGTGAGCCTGGGACCCCAGTAACTAGAAAGTGGTATGGTATGCTAGGAAGGAGCAGGGAGCAAAGGTTAAAGCAGGAGACTAATCAGAAGTCCTCCTCCTCACTGTGGGCCCAGTCTCGGGGCCACCCTGGGGTGATGGAGGTGAGGAGACCAGCCCAGGTGAGCTACCTGCTCCAGATCCACCATTAGGACAGGTTTGAACAAAGGCAAATGTGAGTTCTCATTAGAGATTAGCCCAATGGTAAAGGAGCAAGTCCTATGGTATCTATTAACTAAGACTGAGGGGAGTTCTAGAACTTTTTATATCAGGTGAAGGAGAACTGTGATCTTACTGTGGAGATGAAACCTCCATTCTTCCCAGAAAGGCCCCTAATGTGGGACCTGCAAGACAGGGTCAGTTGGATACAACCTTTGACTTGCTGACCTAGATCTGGTCAGCAGGAAGTGGCCCCTGTGGGTGTCAGGCAGAGTGGCCCTCTGATGAAGAACACTGCTTCTCAGCACCTCTGTGTCAGGGTGGCATGGGCAGTAGTGGACAGAGTCTCTTCTGGAATCTTGAATGGGAAGAGCAGGAACTCACTGGCTGGAGATGGTGGACCATTGGGGGTGAAACAGAAGGACTGGAGTGTTTGCTGGATCAGATCCCCCACCCCAGGGTGCCTGCTGAGCCCCTTCTCAGAACATCCCCTGCCTCACTGTGCCCCCCCCCCCCCCCCCCGCATCCCAACAGATTCATATCTAGACAGGATCACTGGTCTGGACAGCTTTTCAATCACATTCACACATGAACGGGTACACACACAGGCACACACTCAACAGTCGGGCAGGTTGAGACCCATCAAGGCTCTGTCTTGTTCAAGACGAAGAAGCTGACCTCACATCCTGAGAACGAGGAATGTGTATTACTGGGAATTGCCCCAGATGGCATCTGGGTCTCTCTCTGAGGACTGAGCCAGTGGTTTCGATAAAGTACAATCAGATCTCTCCTTGCAGGACACGAGGTTGGAATTGACTTCACCCATGTCACCTGACCTCAGGACTCCCCTTCTTGTGGCCCCAGGTCCATCAAGGTATGTGGCACCCCTCTGGGGCTCACATGATGCTGGCTGAGTCCCTGGTGGTCTGGCTGTGGAGCCTTAGGAACAGGGACTTGGGCTGGTTTTTCCCAGCTCATGGGGTCTTGCTAGACAGTCATGCTTTAGAGGATACAGGAGAGTCTTGTTCTAGGATCTGCAGACATCAACGTGCACTGGACAAGCACCCCACTGTGGATGACCCTTAAAACCCAGAATGCTGTGTCAGCTTTATGCACTGGGGTGTGCCATATGTATAGTTGATGTACTCTTTAAGATTCACTAGAGGGAAGACGAGGAAGTCTCCATCAGTTGATGTTTCTACATTACCTAAAGACACATTAGTTCTTGTCAAGCAATGGTGACTGCCTTTTTCCTGAGCTGGCATTCAAGCTAGTGGAATAACCCGCAGAGCCAGTGGGCACTAAGCAGGAGAAAGCCAGGCCAGAGCTGAGCAGGAATGTGACATGGGTTCTTATTATTTAACAATTGTGGCTTGTTCTTGAGGCTGAGGATCCAGAAATAGTGAGTGTATTAGCTTTTATAAACCAGCAAGATCCACATGGAGCCCCCCAAGTCAAGTTTGGTGGTCAGTCTAATTAATTGATGGAACCGGTCCCAGGTCAACTTGTAAAATAAACAATTTGGAAGGTAGCCACTGGTCAACTCACTTCTTCTCAGCTTGATCAAGAGGGTCTCCAAAGATCCTACCTGAGTATTCCGTTTGCACAAGCAACACAGATACATCTGGGGAGCCCAAATTTCCACAGTCCCTGTGATCGAGTAGGTTCTGGACTTTGCCTCTCTAGAGCCAGCCATCTGTTCCCGTTCCCATGTGGCGAAAGGCAGCAGCAGACAGGGTTTGGCACACATTGTTGGGCAACTTCTCTAGAGGACTCCTGGTGAGGTGCTGTAGGATCAGCAGTGGGCTGTGAACCCATCCACAACTCCTTAGAAACCCTATGCAGGGTCTCTATGAGTTGGAACTGACTTGATGGTACTCACAGTAACATCATCATCTAGAGGTTGGAGGCTCTATGCCCCCCTGCTCAGAATGTTCTACTTAGTTTTTTTGCAAGCCTTACTTGCTAAGACTCAGTGTCAATGCTGAGTCTCATCCTAGGTTCACTGCTGCTAGGCCAAAGTTCCTCTGAACCACATATCTTTACTCAATAAACATGCACTGCATTCTCTTGATGTTCTAGGAGTTCTAGGATCTAAGGAAACAGCAATGAAGAAGAAAGATCTCTTGCTTTCATGGCGGATGTGCAACAAGGTTGTATTCTTTCACCATAATTATTCAACCTGTATGCTGAGCAAATCATCCAAGAAGCTGGGTTCTATGAAGAAAAACATGGCGTCAATATTGGAAGAAGACTCATTAACAACCTGAGATATGCAGATGATACAACCTTGCTTGTTGAAAGTGAAGAGGACTTAAAATATTTACTGATGAAGATCAAAGACCACAGCCTTC